AAAACAGAATGAGTGTCCTCGGGATGCCCTATAGCCTACAATTTCCTTGATGCCTCGTCTACAGCTATCCGCTCTCCTCAGCCTCTCCACACCATGTCCCCTCTGTTCACTGCACTCTTCAGGCTTCTCTCCCATATACAACAAATTCTTCTTCAGAACTCGGTTTAGAGTCGCTTCCCTATGACATCTCACCAAAGATCACACATGTGCAGTGGAAGCCTCTTCAACAGCAGACTAACAAAGAGAAGGTCAAAGACAGATGGAGAAAAGACTGCCGTGAATGATCTCATTTTACTTTTATCCACAATTAACACCCACAACAGCAGCAGTGAAGATATCAAAACCATGCATTGGGAAATCTGCTGTCAGGAGCCTCTTCAAAGTGCCAAAAAGCAAGGGAATCTGATCAAAGATTAAAATGTATCTTGGTCTCCAAGGGCCAGTACCTCCTTGCAACATGCACAAAGTAAATCAAACTAAACTTCAGAATCCTTGACTCCAAGGAGCATTCCAGCTTCACCCTCTCCAGGACAAACCTGTTTTTTCTCCTAGGATTAAACCAAGCTACTCCTTGGAGGCAAGGATTCTGGGGCTTCGTCTGACATACTTTGGACATGTTGCCAGGAGGGACGGGTCCTTGGAGAGGGACATCATGCTTGGGAGGGTGGAGGGACAACGCAGGAGGGGAAGACCCTCTATGAGATGGATTGATTCGGTGACTGGGGTAATCGGGATGGGTGTGTCAGAGGTGGTGCAGTTGGCGCAGGATAGAGCAGGGTTTAGGGCTGTTGTGCATAGGGTCGCTATGAGTCGGAAACGACTCGACGGCACATAACAGCAGTCCATGGTATATTCAACACTCTTCTCCAGCACCACAGCTTAAAAACATCAATTCTTTTTCTATCATCCCTAGCCACTGGCCAACTCTCTGATGCATAGCACGTAACTGCATAGCACGTAACTGCATAGCCTGGATCAGGTGCACCTTAGTCCCCAGCCTGACGTTGTTGCTCATGGTTCTAATCCACTAGGTGCTCTGCTGGAAAAGGAGGGACAATCTCCTCCTGAACCAGTCAGATTTGATTTGACACTACACACACAAAATAATTAAAAAAAAAACAAACACACAAAACACCAAAATGCCTTGTAACATTTCATCCAAATTATATTTTAAAAAAAGGCTTCATTCCAGCCGAAATCATAGGGATGGCATAGGATGAGGTAGGGTTTTGTTCTGATGTACTGAGAATGGCTATGGGTTGGAGTAGATGCAACAGCACTTAACAACAACAGTGTGAATAGTTACAAGTCCCCAGACCTGGTAGCCTTCTCTCTCTCTCAATACAGTCTGCACACCACAAAGTTGGTTTCACCACCACAATGCTCTTGTGGAGCAACTACCCCAGAATTTCTCCACTCTGGCACGCTGGCAGAAATAAGCATGCGGCCTTGAAGGTGCTGAGGATTCAGGCACTCTGTGATCTCCCACAGATCAGACTAAGTGTCAGAGGATCCAGACACTCCAGTCCCAAAGGCCCACACTTCCCCCTCAAAGGCCCTCCAGGAAACAGACCCTCATGCAATACAAGGGGTCATGAGCTAGGGAAGAGATCTGCAAATGAGATCCTGGGCAGCCCGGGCCACATCTGCTACTGAAAGGAGCCACGCCCACTACCTGGTATACTGTCCATGGCTGCTGCCCAGTCACAAAGCAGAGCTGGGCAGTTGTGACTAATCATAAACTTGCTGTCCGGTCAAAACCTACTCATAGCTGACCTCCTGCTGGGTTTCCAAGGCTGTAAACCATGCAGGAAGAGACTGTCCATCTTTCTCCAGCGGAACTCTGTGAGATTCTGAAGCTAGAAGGCACCACCTTTCTGGTCAGCAGCAAAACTCTCTATGGATGACGCCCCCAGAGCCAAAACCAAGCCCACCACAGTCTAGTCAATTCAGTTTACCAGTTTTCTGCAGCTCTAAATCTTTACAGGAGACTAAGCACCTTCCTCCCACAGAGCAGCGAGGAACCTGAACTGCAGAGCTTTGGATCAGCAGCACAACCCAGGATGAACTGTACACCAGGGCTCCTTGTGAGACCACAGAGCCTGTAAAGGAGTGCAGGTCCCTGGCCTGGAGTCTCTGGGGTGCACTAGTGAAGGAGCTCAGTTGCTAAGCAAAATGCCTGAGCTCCAAAACGAGCGGCTGCATCTACCTCCATGTTTTCCTTCGGGAGGGAGGGTCCATTCCTTTGAGGTGGTACTTTCTAATAAATTTATCTTTACTTTTACCATAAAACAACAAACAACGAACTGGAGCCTTGAAAGATGAGGCAGTGGGCTTCTGGAGAGGCTACAGCCTTGAAACCCTCAGGGTCATTATGAGTTGCAATCCACGCTTCAACACTGGTCGAAGTCTAATCTAAAAGGATGACTCCTCCGACTGCTTTAGACCAGACCGTGACTGCAAAGTGTTGTCCACAACAGTTCTCCTGAACTAAATCCTCTTGTGACTCATCCTTCCATCCAGAGAAGACTCTAAAAATCCTCACACAGGCCTCACACTCAGGTCCCACTCTGGAGGTCTATGTGCTTCCCTGTACCCGCAGCAAACACCTGCCTCCAGCCAGCAGGAGGTCCCTCTGTGCTGAGGAACCTTTGCACAGATGTCTGCTCCCTCCAAGGTCTTTGGAGTCTCTGTTCAGGCATCAGAGACTTCCCATCAGAGACTTTGTCTACAGAAACCCCACAGTCAGGGTCCTTACCTCCTCCATTTGCCCTCTCCCCACCAACTCAATTCTACAAAGCAGTTTCTGATTTCTACCATAACTTATTCTGCTTTTATTCATCAACCACTAAGAATGGACACCCCCAGAAAGGAAGGGACTTTTGCCCTTGCTGTCCTCAATTGCAATGTCCCATGCCCAACACACAAGCTAGGACTCAATACTCACTGAATGTATAAACCAACTCCAAGAAAAAGTGTTATTTATCACAGATTAAAGACAAATCAGTTCCTCTTCCCAGAAGTCTAAGGCCAAAATGAAAATAAAACAATTATACACTACCCAGTCAGGTCAGAGTTTCTTCTTGTCTGAGTGCTAACTGAGGTCCCACAGTAACAGCAGCAGTCAGGAAGTCAAGATGTGTTGCATTTGAAAAATCTGTCAAGGACCTCCATAAAATATTAAAGAACCATTATACCAGCATAAACTCTTAAGGTGTACCTGACCCAACACACGGTATTTTCAAATGCACCTGAAAGCTGGACCATCAGGAAGTTCAACAACTAGGGTGCTCCTTAGAGGTTAAGGATGGTGAAACTTCACCTCAGTCTTTGGGCATGTTGTCAGAAGAGCCAGGCCTGGGAAAAAGTCAACATGCTGGGAAAGGTAGAAGAGCAGAAACAGATAGAAAGGCCCTCAATAAGACAGAAGGGCACCTAACAACAACCTGGCTTGCACTTCTTTCTGCCCTCGCCTCATCAGCTAACCTCACCTCTCTCTCTGCTAAACCTTCACACCCAGACCTCACTCCTCAGAAACCTCAGCAACCTTTCCAGCTACTGCAGCTGCCCAGCTCCCTCCACAGGCCAGACACCTCCACACTGACCCCCTGACCACACAGCCAAGACCACCATTTCCACTTTTCTTCCTAACCCTTAATGCATCTTACAGTTGTATTTAACACATACACACACATCCTTTTCCCACAAACTCCGGGAGACCAGACCGCCTCTGTTTTGTTCACCCCTCTCTCCCTGGTGCAGACAATGGAGTCTGACCCATTGGTAAATTACATGGGGGGTTAAAAACAATCAGCTTTCTACCATGAGGTGAGGGTGGGGTGGGTGTTGCTGAATGGTACTAAGAATGCATTTTGAAAAAGGATAAAACTACACATGGAAGAAGTGGGCAAACTGCAACTGCATTACGGTTACTGGAATTAAAGTTATGAAAGAAATGATGGGAATGGTAAAAAAAAACAATTTGCTTTGTAAACATGCAGACAAATCTTATCCTTACTATTTTAAATGTTATTACTATTACATTACATTATTGCTGATATTATTTGAATAGATTCTAACTGATGGTCCCCTATCACACAGCTAAGCAATTATTATTATTATTATTATTATTATTATTATTTTAATAGATGCTAAATGATGCTCCTTTATCACACAGCAGCTAAGCAATGAGATCCGTGTCCAGATGCAGGTGCACCTGGGTCAAGCCCCAGCCTTCACCGTCACGCGCTCCGCATCTGCTAGCAAAACCACGATTTCCAACATCAGGAACTCGAGGGTCCCATCCACGTCCCCCCAGGCCCGGGACCACACCCGAGCACATCCCCTTTCGCGCCCCCCGGTCCCGCGATCGCCCCCCCCCATCTTGTCCTCGCCCACCTGCCTCGCG